TATAGTTAATTGTCTATTATTGATATGATTTCATGTTAAATGAACGGTTATAATTTAATAATTTTTAAATAAATATTTTGAATAATAGCAAGTTAATGAAGAGCAAATCGGTATTGTTGCTCTTCTTCCTTTGTCTTTTTCTTCCTAACCTCATCACAATTCCTTCTCTCTTAACTTTCATTCCTAACCAATTTGCTGTTAAAACAGGAAAAGTTTAATAATTATTGTTTGTTACTCATATATATATATATATATATATGCAATTTAACTCACTCAAACTTGAGAAAAGTATTTGATACAACCTTAGTCAAAACTCTATTTGAGTTGGGTAAAAATTAGATTTATTGATATTGTTGAGGGCAAGTTAAACTTTTATAATAAGCAAGTTGACTGTAGCTAAATCACAAGCGAGATAGGCATGGATGAGAGATAGATGCAAAAAGAACTATTTTTAATATTGATTCTTAAAAGAACTTCTATATCATTACTTTCTGCATCAATTGTTTTAAAGAATCGATGTATAAAGTACATCAGTTACTTTGAAAAACTGATGTATAAAGTAATAAAAATTTATGTAATTTTTTGTCTTTAATGTCATAAATTTTAAAGAGACAATTTTTAGTACTGAAATTTAAATTTTATAAATTATATATTTATTTTATATAACTTTTCAAGATCTATTCAACATAAACTTTTTTTTCTAAAATTTCAACTTTTTGTAATATTTTTTATTTTGTAGTATTTTTTTATTTTTTTATAAAGAGGGTTTTGCCATTTGAAAATCCTCAATAATATAAATAAGAATTTATAACCATGAAGTAAAATAAAAAGTAATGGTGCTCAACTGTGTAGTAGCTAGTGAAAGACAAAGAGTAAATGAGAAAGAGATTGACAGATAAAAAAAAGAGAAAAATATAAATCAAATGATTAATATGTTTTTTAATAAATTTAACTTGAATTACTGATTTTTATCTTACATTTTTAACCATAAGATTTTAATTAATAGTTTATAATACTTGCAAACTTTTTAAAAGACATTTTTACTTTACTTCTTTAAATTTATGGGAGGACATAAGATCATAAAAAATGTAAATTTAGATAATTAAGTTGAAAACAATCAAATGAGCAATTTATTAGAAAAAAAGCCTAAAGAAGAACAGAAAAAGGAGATGACAAGGTTACTTCTAGAGAAAGAGAATGGGAGAACTCTTTCACACTATCAAAAAGGAAAGAGTGAAAAGACAAGGGAAAAATAAATAAAGCAAAACAATGTTAACATCAATCAGTATTAATTATTTTATTTTTAAAAAGAATTTATTACATTAAAAATAAAATTGTAAAATATATTTTTATACAAAACAATAATTAATTTTAAATAGTTAAATTTAAGAGTTTAATTATAATGCACTGTTAATATAAAAATATTTACATTATTAACTAATTAAAATATACTGTAAGTATAGTCCTAGCCTAATTATATTAGTAATCATATACAAAAGTTAAAAAAAAAAAAAAAAAAAAAGCCATACAACAACTTATGATTAAGAGATATGTTAAAAGCTATTACAGTGTCAATATATTTTATTAAAGTCTAAAGAATGGTGATAATATTTTTATAAATAACACACACTTAGAGTGATAAGTTAGGACAATCAGATTTATGAAACTTACAACAAAGCAACTATATATATTAAATCTATATTTGTTCAAAATTGCAAGATCCTACAAGTTGAACCAAAGAAAAAGTAAGGGACAAAGGAATTTGATACTAATTATATTTTGGGTGGTGGGTATAGATTAGGACAGTTGGTGGCACTTAATCTTGGAAGAGAATTGCAGTTCAATGGCTATGTATGATTGAGAGACACTGTTGACACATAGTTGTGACATCACTTGCTTTGTCTATCTGTAGGCTCAAAAATAAAATCACTATTCATAAGAGAGAGACATTCACTCTACCAGGCATGCATCATGCATCTTTCAGGCTCGCCAATTAACACCACACTAAAGAAGCCAAATTACACGGCGCATGCATTATTATGTGCTTTATTACCATCATCATCACGTGTAATATGCTGCATTCCATGGCAATCTACTCTCATAAGACTCATATATTGGCTTTCAGAGATCCATTTTTCATATATGACTTTTTCTTATGAAAAAACCATGTTTGCTTCTTTTATTAAATTTGTATGCACCAAACGATGTTATGCTCCACGCATTAAGTATAATATTTTAACAAAGGAATCCAAATACAATATTCATGAGCATTCCTAAGGGACCTATTACATCTGGGTAGTTTTTCTCATGGAGATTTAATTGAATATTAAGTAACACAAAAATGGGAATGTATAAAATTTTAAATACAAAGATGATCAATGTCTCGATTAATTGTACACTAGACGATAATAAAATCCTATTAACAAGTCTGCAAGATTATTTTCGTTCCAACCTATGTCTTTAAGAAGAAATTTTTTTTTATATTAATAGATTACTTCTAGCCTAATTAAAAGATGTTATTATTTATGATTATTGTGGTTTTATTTCCTTTTTTCAGGTATAAGAGTATGATTAACCCTCATGTACACATAGATCAAACAATAATAATACCCAAATTTTTTTCTCCTTTGTTTTTTATCCTTATACATCACAAATATTATGTTGTGAATAGATTCTTAGTTGCTTACAAGTCACAAATATGACAGAAAGGAAATGTAGTTAACATAAAATAGCAGCATTCTTGTTTTTTATTTTTCGATATTTTGTCATATGAAAAAGAACAAAAGATTCCAAAATGATAAACAAAGAGTGTACAAAAGGTTAGATAAACAATCGCCATCAAGATTGAAGAGAAGGCTTGTGAATTGGGCGAAGCAGGAGGACACGGCTAAGTTGGTTAACTAATAAATACAAATGCAGAGACAGCTTGATGCATTTTCTCCTTTGCTTTTCAAGTCATTTTCCCCTCAGTTTCACTCCACGAAGACAAATGAAAAATTAAAAACCGTTAATGTGTGTTAAAAAATACAATAAAAATTTCATAAAAAAATAAATTTTGAGTAAACGTTATAATATTTAATGTTATAAATATTTTATATTTTATAAATTTTAATATAATTTATTATATATAAATTTATCTTACATATACCTTAAAATACCAAATTAATAAAAGGGGTAACAGCTTGGAATGTCATTACTTCTCCCTCTCAACAGTCCAAAAATAGTGTCATTTTCATTCGGTGGCTATGGACAGACCACAGTTAAACTATTTTGAAACCATAATTGCTACGTTGTCACTTTGTGTGTTGTGTCCTTCAAATGTTTTTGGGAGATGCAACACACATACCCCCACTTCTCATTGGACACTTTTTTCAATAATAAATTGAAGGCTCTTAATTTTTTATATTTTAAAACATATACAATTGATTTAGTTCATACATAGAAGTATTAAATATCTTTAAAATTTAGTAATTATTTCATATTGAATTTGTTTACATAATTAAAAATATTACTGAAAATAACTGTATTAAATGTTTTAATCAATATTTATAGGCATATTACTGAACTTGAAGATGGTTCAACTTACAACGATATAATTAATCTAATTTTTATATTAATGATAACTTTAGATAAAAATATAAGTTTTTAGTAATCTAATATATATTTTTTATCATTTTATTTATTTATGTAAAATATTAAAATTTTAGCATTAATAAATCAACAATCAAGTATTTTAATTTCTTTTGCATTTTGAAAATATATATAGCATTAAGCTTCATATTAAACAGTTTTACATAATGTAAAATTTTATAAATACGATTTATATGATAGTAGTTTCAATATAATAATAAATTTTAAAAGATTATTATAATTTGTGCAGTTGTAACTATCTCTCTGTATGTACATGCATGTGTGTGCATAGCTATATTTGCTGCTAAATAAACTTATTCTAAAGGCATATGCTAAATTGATGATGCATGAGAGATGTAAATAGATAAGAATGAATTTAGATCTTTTCATGTAATATAATGCTCCGTTAAAAAAATACAATAAAATTATTATCATAATTAGTTGTGTGATTTAAAAATTGTTTCTTTGATTTAAAATATAATGCATTTAAAAATTATGGTCCTCTTGAAGAAATATGAAAACTTAATGAAATGTAATTTATCTTTGTGAATAGCTGTGAGCAAGATTGAGCAAATGCTAACCTTAGCATTAACTATCCAATCAATATTTTGTTATCTTAATGTTTGAAAATATGTTATAATGATACAGGCAAAGATAGAGACAATTGTGAAAGTGCTAAATGACTCAACAAAGTCCTTATAAGTCAATGCTAGACTCGAGATCAAATTCTCCTATTATCCCTGAAATCAAAAGCTACTCTTCTGAGATAATTATATTGACCTCTTCTAAGATTAGAGGTAGATTAGACCTTAATTCAAAAACTACTCATGCATCTCTTATTTATATGTTATAATTATGTTTTGATTCTTAAAAAAAGATAGCACACACTATTAGAATGTAAAGAAAAACTAGAAGAGGAAGAATGACAATATTGTATTATCTTTGCAGTACAAAATGGTATCTTTAGTATATTGTGTATATAGTCTGAGTCAATACACACCTCCCTTATTTTTATGTATAAAACATACACATGATATCCATAAAAATGACAAAGCAAAAGCGTGCAAAGAAGACGGGTGTAATTTCTATAAACAAAGAATCTCTAATTATACCATTTTTTCTTTTTGAACAAATTCCCCCTTTAATCCATACGCCTGCTCTTAGATCACCTAATACAAAACTCATTCACCACAGCAGTCCAATTTCTAATTTCAGTTGTGTTTTTTTAATAAATTCTGGACAAAATTATTATATCCAATATTTTAATTATTCAGATAACAAAACTACAAATTTCATAGAACATGCTCAATCCAGATTGCTTTCAAAATTTAAGGAATTTAAGATCCCGCATGCATTGATATATTCTTAAAGTGCTACTTAAAATAACTCCAAATCCAATCTCCTTCAATTAACTTCCAGAGATGAAATTAACCCTATCCGTTCGCAATTCTAATAAAACGATACACATTTTAAAATAAGGATCCTCAACAAATGCATTTAAAATTTACAAAACAAAATAGATATTTAAATTGTGTGTAAATGTTGTACATTAGAACAACCGTGAAAATCAAGACAGTAGAAAAGCTACTCATTATACCATACCTATATATAAAAAATATTGGACGAAGAATGGCACTTCAAACTATGCTACACTACCACCAATTACTTTCCAGCCAAATGAAAATGGCTTTCAAAAAAATTAGAACGTTAGTTGTACAATTATGGTATCAAAATTTGCCAGGAATTACAGGCATGTGTATGTGGTGCCCAAAGTTATATAGAGAACATGCCAATTGCATCATATGTCCAACTTCTGTATCAAGTCATGGCACCCAGTTCCCATCTTCACTGGCAAACCAAGACATATTCTAGAAGAAGGAGTCTCCAAATTATCCACCTGCCCATGATAAGCAGCTTCAACAATAAATTTGGAGGCTGTCTCAAAGCACATTTTAATGAAAGGAGATGTAGAGTCTGCTATGCTCCCAGTTCGGTTCATGGGACGATAGCCACCAGAGTGCGTCATAAAGTCGGCAATGAGGGTCAAGTGCCGGATATTTACTGATATCCCATAAGACTTGAAAACATTCTGTACTTCCCTAATGATGGTCTCTCTGGCTGCTTCCACACCATAAGCATTTAGCATAGCATGGACGTTGTTTGAATAAATATACCTAACATCAAGATCATCTTGCAACTCCCAAAATGTTTCAAAATGTACCCCTGATGTCTGAAGTGCTGGTATTTTTTCTTTCACTGAGGATGGAATATCATCCCTTTTACTACAATCCTCACCGTAGTAGACAACTCCACTTTCTTTACATGTAATAGCTTTACATTCCCCAACCTTTCCAAAGCTCTGGATGCAAACCTTCTTGGCTGTTCTCAGAGCAATCTGCATAGTTGATTTGAAAACAGTTGAGTTTTATAAGAAAAATAGAAAGAAAAAAAATGCATATACACCCAACAGCTATCATATTTGCTTTCTGACCATATTTCACTTCACAGTTTCCTTAGATGTTACTATTTCTCATCCAAAAACCTAAGGATGGGGCACACCCCCATTATAGGAAAAAATGTATGACACCACCATATGCATTTTAATGGGCCAGACAGTGCAGGTAAGGTATTGTCCTAGAATATAGAAATAAACTATTTATTGTGTCGAATAAACAATCTAATATACAATAACACAACCTAAACTTAAATATCAATATAGAAACCCTGATATTAACACTGCGTATTAAACAGAAATGAGCCGCAACTGAAAGTACCTGAGCTAACAAAATGTGAGGTTCACCAGTAAGTTTAAAGTGGATCTCAAAATGCATCCCTTTAGCTTTCACAAAAACTGCCCTGTCATATTTTTTTGTTGTTAGTTTAGATTTTTTCTTTTGAGATTTCAAATTATCTTTTCCATCAATAGACTTGCCCTTGGAGGGTTTTTCATGTCCTTTAGAATTATTATCATCCTCATTGACGTCAATATCACTGCCATCCTCATCACCTTCTTCAAAATCCTCTGACAGCTCACCATCATGTGTTTCCTCTTCAGGACCATCCTCGTAATCAACCTCATCAGTACCTTGCTGTTTTCTTTTTTGCGCATCTGAACCAAGATCGTCATGCCCTTCAGTGTCTTCAACACCACCGTCATCATCGTCATCATCATTATTTTGACTTTTTTTCTGAGATTCTGATTCATTATTATGAACATCTTCTGAGCTGTTTGAATTAGATTGTGGATCTGTCTTGAAATTCTTTATGCCACTAATTTTAGAAAGCAATGTCATGTGATTTTCAATGGCGTCCTCCAACGCTCTCACGAAGACTACTCTGAGAGTTTCCTCCCAGTCTTCGAGGGTAATATCAGTGTACTTCGGATAGTGTTTAGGTTTATATAGCTTCATCACAAGTTTATATATACTGCAAATCTGACCGCCACGAATGGTTACTGGTACAACAGAAACTTTCATACTCTCAATTATGTCAGCTACAGTAATCTTCTTCAACTTGTCAGCAAGACAAACAGCATCCTCCCTGCAAATAACAACTGCATTAAACATCTAAACATATCTGTATGTAGAAAAAAGAATAATTTTGCAGAAACAAAATAAGGCATATACAAGGAAACACTAGAGAACAGATAATAGTGCCAGCATCTCACATAGATTTTTTGGGTCTCAAGGGACATGTCATAAATGGAGTTTTGATATCACGTGCAGCAGCCATCACAATTTCTTGCAAGCGTGGAATTCCAAGTGTCACATTCATTTCACCTCGACCAGCAAGGTGGAAAGTATTCAAACTGAAAAAAGAAGCTGAAAATAATCAGAAACAATAAATCAACCACACATACAAATTAAGTCTGACTTAATCATTACTGAGAATTTCATAGCTGGCAAAAAAACTACTCTGAAGTAAGAAGTTCTAGGCTTCTAGCGGACCATGAAGAGAGCGCTTCAGAATTTAATCAGATGCAAATAAAATGTCATTGTTCCAGCTAATTTTGCTGAGGTTCTCAAAGCTCCAGGAATACATCAGAAAGTTTACCCACATTTCAAGAATTTGCTATGAAAATTAAAATATTCATTTTCTCTGTGATCATAAAAAAGCGCTCAGCTTATCTAATACTCTATTAAGTACCCCCATTAGCACAAGTCATTCCAGAAACTCATTACGCCTACCTACATTAGAACCCTAGAGAAAGCTTTTAAGAAGTTTAGATCAAACTAAAACCACTAAATCTGTATTGTAAGATAATAGAGAGGAGCTAACTTTACATGTGATTTGTTCTGTCTGTTATTCTCTTTTGAGAGCAGATAATCCAATAATTGGTATAGTGCTCACCTTAGAATTCAATCCCCTATGGCCAATGCTTTCACCCACTTCCAACAAATAAAAACCATTGTTTAACTTAATTCTTTTTGCTCATTCTAAATTGTTCATCCATTAAAATTTACTTACTATGCATGAACAAAACAAAATAATAGCAACAGGCTCATCAAAAAGATGTGAAAACTTGAAGGTTTGGCTAATTAAAAAGAATCACAAAGATGATTTAGATGGTCAAAACACACAATCATCCCAGAAAAAGTGATGCCACAACAATGTTGACACAAAATTACATTAATTGCAAGATGATGCCCAGTGATTGGAGCAGGTGGAGATGACACGGAAATGCACCAGTTTAAGCATAACAATGCCACATCTCATGCCTTAGCTTAAGAGATGAGTATTCCTAGCCAGCTTCTTGGCATAAAACATAGCAAAATCCAGTCTATACTACACTCTTGAGGAAAGAAACAGGAATGTACATGTTTGTTGCGTACAAAGGCTCATCAGTTAGTTCTATCTATAAAAATTAATAGATTCAGTTTGATTCAAATGTCATGGGGGTTAGACTACACTTACATAGAGCTTGTGAAACCACCAAGTTCAAGTGGGTAAAGTGTATTATTACCTAAACAAGGCCATAAGATTTGTTTAATTTGTTACTTAAGCTCAGAATATATGAATGGAAAAAAAATAAGAAAGCAAAACAAAAGGGTGAAAAAACTTTAAGCCAAATAGCCAATAAGACAAGAAAATGAGAAAAGAAAAAACTTTTGGGAAAACTGAGTCAAGCTGGACAAGACAAGCAAACAAAGTGCAGAACAAACCTATGGGTTGCAAGGATGGGCAAGAAAATGCAGGCTCAGCCAGAAATAAGCCAGAAAGGTAGGGTTAAAGGGGTTGCATCAAAACAGAGAAGGCAGAGGGTGTATGCATATTTGAACAAGGGTTTTCAAATCCTTTCCTCTACTATAATGAAAAAAGGGTGAAGCCATGAAATAACCCTCCAATAAAGGTTTCGTAATACAGAAAATAAGGGTCAAAAACATATTCTAAGCCCCTTTTTAATGGTGGCCACATGTGTGAGTATTTTTCACACACAGCAAGAACATCCAAATGCTTAGTCAATGAACTTCTGTAGCAGCCAAAGGCTGCAACACCATAATAGTGGTGCTATTGCATACTTTTAATAACTCTGGCTCCAGTAATCATGAAAGACTGGTAACAACTTCAAAATTTTTCGTAAGCTTTAATTATGAAACAGATTGAGTATAAAGGGCATCTCATGGTTACACATTAAATTCAAAAAATAAGAAAAATCTATGAAAATTAAAAATTCTTACGTCATCTGTGTTGCCGGTTCTCCAACAGATTGAGAAGCTAATACACCAACTGGCTCACCTGGTTGAGCAAGACTCGAGAGATACTTGTGCTCCATCAACTTCAAGAATTCTTTTCGTTTCATTGAACCATGATTTTTCTGTTTTAAGGAGAAATCACGAAAGAAATTTTCTGCTTTTCCTTTAAGAGCATCAGGCAGTTTGTTAATATATGGACTGGATCTGTCTAGCTGACGGCAACAGTTGCTGTAAACCAATTCTTTATTCTGAAAATAATAATAGAAACATCAAACAATAAGCTACAAGTTGGATATGTAATCTGCAGTTTTCTAAAAACAATAAAACATGCACATACAGTTGACAGTGCTTCAAATTTGGTGATAAAGCTAGTTTGATGGACATCTACACCATCTTCTCCATAGTGAAACTGAATAACTGAACCATCAGAATCACGGACAGTATGATCATAACAAACTTTAAGACACTCAAGGTTTTTCATTAGGCATCTTTGCAGATAACCACTCCGAGATGTTTTGACAGCAGTATCAACTAACCTGTGCAGCAAAGATGTCATTTGTTAGGTTTTAGCAACAAATGAATAGTGTAATTTGATGATCTGATGTTCAGTTTGGAGGGAGGGGGTGTCTTTCACATGAAACAGTAGCCATGGAAGGAAAGTTAAGTACATATGATGCATTCACATGTAACCATGTGACTTATATGACAAGTACACACCACTACTGTCACCAAGTACTCTGTTTTGGACCCATCTATTTCTCTTAGATTCAACAAAGTAATTCATCTGTTTATCTTCAAAGATAATATAACTTATTAAAGTTAAAATAACAAATATCATTTTGGTATTTGTTGTCATTCATATGTTCTATGCCTTGAACAGAAATGATATACAGGAAATGGAATAAAATTATAACAATTCACAACCCTAATGACCATAAATCATTCAATAACAATTATTTAGAATGAGCTATTTCTATCAGCTCAATCTAAAAGTTTTTCTTTACCCTTCACGACCAGCCATGCAATGAAAGTAATATTCCTGCGGATGAAGAGCTGTAAGAAACCGATCAATAATGAATCCTCCTGCTCTAGGGGAACAATCCCAGGGAGGAAAGCATGGTAAGGTCTTTCCAGAAACCATACGTGGGACTCGCTTCCCTTCCAACTCTTGCTGGCCAAGATGAGATGATATTTGCTGGAAATTCACCTGTTTAAAAGCATATGAAATCAACTTGATATCATTAAATGTCATAAACATAATACATAAATGATTAGTATCCATATTCATCAACACTGAAAGCAGCAGGTATGGCCATCCTAGAAACCACTACAGCAGGATAATGGACAGCATAAAGACATTATTGTAGACTCTAGAAGCAATATATAACAGTTATATTGTACATATACAGATGTTCAAACATTAAAAAAACACACTAAATGAAAGTTATGTCCATAATTAATGATCAAATGTTCCAATCCAAAGTCAATGATAACAAAAGTCAAGGAGTTAAAAATGCCCCTCTTAAGTGGATGATGCCATGACTGAGATGGACATGGAGGGTGGTGACCAATGCAGTTAAAAAATAGGAAAGAAAACGGATAGAAAAGGAGTGAACAGGATAAGAACTTAGAACGTACACAAACAAAAAACATAGGTAACAGAATAGGTAGAGGAAGGGCACAAAGACCTTTCTTGAGTTTCTTCTCAGAAATTTTTCATGAAAACTAGGAGTAGAGGGTGCAATATATCGGCAAAACAGAGTAGAGGATATGCCCAGGCATGGCTGAACACCATAGTTGTTAATCTCGAATAGTGGCAAATAGCGGCTGACCCCTACAACGCTATAGCAGAATTGCGTAAGTGGGATGATCGCTATTTAAAGATTTATAATATGTATATATAACAGTGTAAAACATTACAACATGAGTGTTATATATAAACAAAAATGCTTTCATATGATAAATCAGTGAACAGACGCCGGAAAATCTGATTTTCCGGTGAACAGAAAAACAGAGATGCTGGAAAAAGTAATTTCTCCTGTGAACAAAAAAAGAGGAGACGCTGGAAAAGCTGATTCCTCCAGCAAAATGGAGCAAGTGAGCCTCTGGACAAGCTGATTTCACCAGTGAAATGGAATGGGTGCGCCGCTGAGAATGGGAGAAATTGCTACGCAGAGGCTTGGTCTTTTCGCGGAGAGAGGAGAGCGTGGGGAAGATGGGTTTCTTTCTTTTCCCCAAATGACCCTTTACCCTTAAAAAATAATCCAAACAGTGCATTTTATAAAAATAGAATAGGGTTTCTTTCTTCCCACCAAATCACGCGATTGTCTCCCTGTTTTGGCCACAAACGCCCGCACCTGCCGCGACATACCAAACTCCCCGCGTTGTGGCAGCCAACAGCCTGCACTGCTCTGGTGCGCTATTAACAAGTATGCTGAACACCAGCAGAAAGTAGTGGGTTTTGAAGGAAACAGGTCACACCACAGCCAGTGTTGCATTAATGAAGAAGAGAGATGTGAAATCACAAAAGTAATACAAAAAGTTTGTCTGACAATGCAGAAAATGGGGCTGGGGGGGTGGTTTGGCCCCATTTCAGCATAGCTGCTGCAAAATCCATGAATCACCACAACATTGGGTGCAATCATGAGCACGACCGGCAGATGTATAAACACTGTGATGCCTTTTTCTGTAGCAGGTGGCTGTTATTGATAACTCTGTATCAACTAGAAAAGATGAACAGAGACTTTGTACAGTGTTTTAGAAACCAAACCAATTAGTTATATGCTAGATACAGGAAAACCAATTGCCAGATTACTGATAACCTTTGTCAAAAACCATTGCAAACCAGCTCAATCTACCAAACAAGTTTAATACCAGAAGAAACAGTACAAATAGTGAAATATCAATGAATTTATTACTGTATCTATTGCATCCCAGTTAAGAAGCTGTTAGGTGCCCTAAAAGGACCATGTACTTTACAGCAAATAGAACCCAAAATGCCCCAACCATATCTATAGTGATAACCCATGAAATACGTTTTTTTTTTTCTTTTACATATGCCAGACATACAGGACCCCTTGGCGCCAACACTGCAACACATATCACCCAGTTCCAGATTTAGTAGAGTAAAATATTAATCTAAATTACAATCTTGTACTCCTTTATAGAATAAAAATAAAAATTTACACTCAAAATTAAAAACAAAAAAAAAAGTTCATGATATTTTATAATTTAAAATTTTGAGTATCATCTGCATACTCTTCAATAAGATCTTTTAATTCATAAAACACACAAATCCTGCATTTCACTCTAATCATACAGCACACTAGTGCCACGCTGCCACAGAAAATATTCATAGGAGAATGTTACTAACAAATAGCACACGCGATACTTATGGTGCCAGGTATCCTAATACAACAACATATGAGAGTGACTGAGGACAAATTAACATTAAAGCAAAAGTACACATACCATACTACCCTTAGCTCCAGATGTAGTCATAAGAGAAATCCAATTTTTTCCGGAGGGTTTCAATATTCCTTCAGATAGTAGCTCTTTCAATATCCCTGAGCTTGTTCTGGAGTTAAGATTGCTTATCATCTTCCTATCCAAGTATGTTAAGGCTCCTTCTCCATTACTGCGTATCTTTTTCTCAATATTCAATTGCATTGTGATTGGATCTGAAATGCAAAAATATGCCAAAACATCACAACTTTAAGCGAAAAAAAAGATGGCATTAAGGAAATGCCAAGTACCCCATGTAAGATGCCTATGAATTGGACACGTCTCAAACGGTAAGATAATGAAAGAAATGAACGCAAAAATTTATCCAAAATATTACAAAGTATTAACCATTGTTTTCCACAAACACTAATCTAAAATGAAATGAGTCTGTCAGAACTCACTAGAATATCATGAGAATCATACAACCCTCAACAGAGATAGTCTATTGTGGGCAAACATGAAAGACATATTTGATACAAAAAGTCACCATATGTCAACACTTAAACACAAGAAAATTTAGTGATTGAAAGATATGAGTGCCCATCTTCTCAACACATTATTTTGGTCTGTCGGCCTAATAGTTACTTTTGGTTTTGGAACAACAGGTAAAACAAACTCATTGACACAAATTTTAGATAGTAAACATTCTTGCATGCTCATAACCTTATTCGAAAGACAAAAAAAGATGGCATTCAATAATACAGTATTAAATTCAGGGTAAAAATATTAAATAGAAAACTAGCAATTCACCAACTAAAAGCAATCAATAAATGTTATCACATTTGGAAATGGAATATTTCGATTATATAATTTGAGCAAATTAATTTTACTTCAGGTTACCTATATTATCACTATCCATCACTCCAATGAATTCACGATGAACAATGTCCCCAATTTCCTCACAACTTTTGAGTTGATTCATTCTTTCAACATCGTTTCCTTCCATTAATAGAAGATCATCTACTCCACATGTGAACCCATGCATCTGAACAACAGAAAACAGATCAGAATCATGCAGGATTGTAGGATGAGTAAATACTATTAAATAGATTCCATTTGCATAACAAATTAATTGGTGGCTAACCTGTAAAAAGGTAGTGAATAACCGACTTAATGCAGAAAGCAGGTTGCCAGCAACATTTGACCCATAAAGTTCTTGCACCGTGTGTACTATACCATAGTCACCAAATTGAGCCTTATCAACCACACCACGCACCAAGTCATTTCTATATATCAATAATTTATCCTCATCAGGCTCATTCTTTTTTGATGTATCCCGAGTGCATTTTTTACCCTTCCTGATTCGAGTCTTGAAAAAGTTAGATGGGATTTTTGCATTCTTCTCAACAGTAAATGGTGGTGAACCTCTGGTGATGTAGTATAGCAATGCACTGATAACCTAAAAAAGACAGCAAAGACCAAACATACTTAATAAAACCATTATGTTATAAAAATAAAGCAGATCATACCTGAGTAGAAAAATAGGAAACGGGATTGACATCTGTTTCTGTAGTTTCATAAAGACTTAGATATGTTTTTAATCCTTACATTGTCACAAGATTGTGATTTTAGTCCCTCAAAAAAAATTGATTTTAGTTGTTGATTTTTCTAAATTCAACATTTTTGTCCCTACTGATGATGTGGCTAACTAAGAGGTTGCCACGTGTCGATTTTTGGCACCACATCAATGAGAAGGACCAAAAGTGCCAAATTTAGAAAAATCAGGGACTATAACGATTTTTTTAAGGATTAAAATCAAAATCTGCCAGTTTATTTAGATAGTACTCTTATAATGTCAAAAAAGTATTAATTCTTAAATTTAGGGGTATCAGAATGCAACCTGTTTTCCTGTCCAAAGGGGTTCAGGCTTCCATATTGCAGGAGGAAACAGAAACATTTCACTCTCAGAATTTGTCATGAAAACTTTCTGCCCAGGTTTGCCATAGAATGAGCCTAGCCCAGCCATGGATACACCAGAACTGTAGAGTAGTTGATTGAACTCTTCATAACTTAGAAAAGTATCCTTTTTTGTAAGAAGAGCAGCACTTACAATATGATCCTGGAAAAATGTTCAAAACAGGAGGAAAATACTTCAGGAAATCACTCCAAAAATAAATCTTTTGTAAATGATTTACATTAACTATTCAATCAAATAGGTGGAGGATCAACAGTAATGTTATTAACTTGTGACCTAATGGTCTTGGATTCTACTATGGACAACAACCCCATGTCCCCAAAACTCACCGGGATGAGGCTTCATGATTCTAACTCTATCTAGACCCCACAATGGAGGGATCCTAATGTCCTGAGGCACTAACCACCCCTGTTTAAATAAAATATTTATGCAAATACCTGAATCAAGGCTCTGATTGGATCACCACTTGTAGGTTTTACATATTGATTGTTGGCATTTACAATATTGTAAGCTTCAGCCCGGGAAATTTCATCTTGTGGAAAGTGAACATTAATCTCATCACCATCAAAATCAGCATTATAGGTACTGAGATAACAAGAAAAAAGAAAATGTGATTGACTTCAGAAACAATATTAAGCTGCGATGCTCTGTATATGACATCAAAAATGAAATTTTCATGACAGCTCATCAATCTAAGTTTTCAGATATAGTCAAAACATAATAGTTTATATCGCTATCACAATGCTCAGAAACAAATTATACATTACCTACAGTTTGCATAGTGCATGCGTACAGTTTTCTCCCCTTTCAGAACACGAACTATGTGAGCCATTATACTAGGCTTATGGAGTGTGGGCTGTAACAGAATATAAAATTCAATTACTATAAGGTCATCAAATAGATCGAGTCATATTGCACATTTTCTCAATATGATCACCATAATGGTAATTGTGGTATACAGTACAAAATTAAGCATGCAGAATAATCACCGCCCACTAAAGCAAAAACATAATTTTAACTCTATATAGACAAGCAATCACACATATTCAAGAATTGCATAATCTTAACAATTTCCAAGAGCAGACAGGAACAAAAAATCATTATTCTTAACAATCACACATACATCAAGCATTCTAATGTATAGCTTTTCTGTTTCATTTTTAACCCAAAAAAAAAAAAAATCATTAGAGGAATAGAAGACAATACCATGATACAATATATATTGCATTATTGTTAAAACACATCAGATGAGATAATGCATTCATTACCTGTCGATTGACAAGCACAACATCACCATCTTTCAAATGGCGATACACAACTTTTCCTTCAAATTCTTGGTCATATATCTTTCCATGATGCATAATAACCCCTCTTGAGGATGGTAATTTCCTTGATGTCAAAGAAAGCATTTTCCCTTTCGGAGGAAGCTTGACTATTGATACTTTATCAGCATAATGTGTTGCACCTGGATGGGATTCAGGACCATTAAGAATAGCAGTCCTTAGCTTGGCTACATTCCAGGGAGTCACTCTCTGCAAGATACTAACTTAAAAGTCAATGGCAGGAAACAAACTGAATTCCTTAGATTATCAAAATATTTGCTTCTGTTAGAACTGTTAGAATAGCAAGTAGTTCATGTATCACATTTTAAATGAGTCCAATAATATATTTAGGAAGTAGCACCCAATTAGTCTATCAATAATAGATAGATAGATAGATAGATGTTCTGCACAACCTAAGTATACACACTCAAGCAATATCATTCAAGCTATGTCATCCCATCTCCCTTTCTTTATTTTTCTCTATATCTCCCACTAAAATCAGCATGGTATCAAAGCACTATCATCTACCATGACCTGTCGCATCACATTCCTGCTCCAGTGGTCATAAAACATGAAACTATTTCGATTTCCAGTAGATTTCCTTTCCTCTGTAATTTCAGTGGTTTTCTTTTGTCATTTCTTCTGTATAGTCACTTTTCTTGTGCAAAAATTCTTGCTTCCACCCTTTTACCACAGGCCTTCTCCTCCAGCAACCTTCCAGCAACTTCCCATCAATCTTTATAGCTGTTTTTCATACCATTGACCTTTTCAGGTGACCTTCCAGTAACTTTTTGGCAACCTCTTCAGCAAGTTGTCACCTCAGGCGACATTCCAGTGAACTCGCCATTAATCTACAGCTGCATCAATCTCCAGCTGATATTAAAGTGTTCTCTGGTTCTTTTCTGGTCTAATCAAGCCCAATGTTGCATTCGCAGGGGCATTTAGTGGATTCCATGTTATTTGGAACAAAAGCTTAAATCCTAGTAAGCTTTAGCTTGAGGGGAGTCTTAAAATAACGCTCCATTCAAGTATCACATGTTACACTTACATGCATTTAATTTTAATGGGAAATCATAAATTTACACATTTTGATTTTCATACCATATGCAGGTGTTAAACTAAATAGACATCAGAAATTCATTACACACCAAAATAATAATAAGTGATAACAATATGCACATTGAGTAATACTTAGTTAAAACCCTCACCTCAGGATACGTTAATCTTAAAGCAAAATACGGGGGAATCCCAATTTCATTGACAGCTAAATAAGGATCTGGTGATATGACAGAGCGGCATGCAAAATTAACCCTCTTTCCCATCATTTTCTGCCGAAAGATACCTTCCTTCTTTTCCAGCAACTGACAAATTCCAGTAGCCACATCTCTCTGGCCTATACAAAGCAAGAAGTAAAGATAACCCTATGTACGAACCATTAGCATTATATCTAAATTGGCTACATGTTAACATATATATCAAGAGATTTCACAAATTCATCTAATGGACTAAACTTTGTTTCAATAAAATCTTGTCTACTGGATTCTTTGAGAATTACCTTAATTATGTTTTTGCAATGATTTTTTCCTCTATTATAGTACTTCCTTCAACAAAACAGAAAAATGAGATCCTCTTACAAACATTCTATCACAATTTAAAAAAGCATACAAAACTATTTTTATTTTCATTTGCTCTGTTTAGTGTATTATATATTGATATTGATTTTTTTTATTGACAAAATACAAGCCAACCCAGTTCCACATAATTCCAACAGGGTAAGGAAAATGAAACTAGAATAAACTCTCACCAGAAGCAGTTTTATTGTCAAATAGCACATTTACTGATTGCTGAAGATCCATCCACCGACTTAGAACCTTTGAAGAATCTGCCTTGTTTAGATGGGCATCTCCTAAGGATATATTGCACTGTAAAACCTTAGACAACAAAACAGTTTGAGGATGCTCCATCACCTGCAAAAGCATTGACCATGTAATTAAAAACATGTTGGATTGAAGAACAGCCAAAATATAGCAACACAATAACTTTAGAATAATGTGGAAAGGCCAATGAGGCAATGACAAGAGACTGAGTACCAGAGTAATTGGATGTAATTTACTAATGAAAATAAGGAACACAGGATGTAATTCACAAAAGAAGCTCTGAATGATTGTAATACATGTAACCAAATATCACTGTTTATCCAAAACTATGAATATCAGAAGACAACTATACTTGTTACATGGTCCACATGTCTAAAAGCTTTTTGCTTTTTCAATTATCAAGACTGTCCTACTTACCTAATAATATGTTATATTTCTCAACATTTACTGTAGCATCAAATAATATCAAGCGAAGCAACGAATATAAACAACAATAATCCATCTCACATAATAGTCCTAGCACAATGCAATTCAATAGTAGGAAAAACCAAAAAGGAAGAGAGAAAGAATGATAACATAATATATAAACATACTCAGTAAAATACCCATAAAAGTTCATCTCTACAAATAGTAGATTGTATACATATACTTTTCCTCATGAAACAACAATCTGAGTCAAAAATAAAATAATGAAGCGGTTCTCACAACACTGTTACATAGCTGTTTGTTGTTAGACAAAATTTATAAACTTTTGGTAATAGCATCTCCTAATCACACTTACATTATCACCTCCTTTAGTTGGGGGACGGAATTTGATTGGTGGCACAAATATATTCTGTAGAAAGAACATTGAGTGACCAGCTTTCTTCCCAAAACCCTGATCTTGAATATCACTAATATAAGAACAGAACCGAGCCTCGTTTTCCCACAAAAGCTCTAAAATATCTTTAACCTGTAATTTGAATAGAATTATATGAAATGAAATTATCCACACACATTTTCCAACAGCATCTAATATGTATATAAATTAAACATGCCATTACCAAGTAGACACTTTTCCTTGAAAAATAGAAATGTTATATAAATGACAGTCATTAAGCCAATTTGTAAGAAACTAACCTGTGATGGTAAAAGAGAACCAGAAAGTTTATTTTGCTCAGCAAGCTTGTAAGACAATATACCATTTTTCTTATTATCCCTTTTTGATGTCCTAGCAGAGGTAATATCTTCTTCATCTGTTGTATCCCCATTACCTAAAGATGTATCATCATTCGTTGTTTCACTTGCCACAGATCTAACGATATTTGCTCTAGCTTGATCAGCTGAGAGAACATTCTAGAGCCATCGAGCAGCAACCCAAAAAGGAGAAAGGAAATGAAAAGAAAAGCAAGAATTAGACATTGCAGCTAGAAACACCTACAAACATGGACCTATGGACATGAAATCTCTGTGGACAAAAGTATAAATACTTCATATGAAAAACATAATATACACAATAGATATAGTGACTTTATGGTATTCAAATTTCAAAATTTACCAAGTCATCATACATATTCCAAAGAAGAGAAAAAATTCAGACTTACTTAACCATACAACTTTTTGTCTTGCATATTTGAAAATTGAAGGTACCATCAACAAATTATAACAAAAAGGTAAAACGAGTATCATTTTGCAAATTTTACAGTTGTATGCATAATGTCTGGAATTACTGGACAGAGCATACATAATACACATCAACAAAGGTAGTAGTCACACACCCAGCCCAACCCACTCCCTCTAAATGCATAAATACACATGTGTATAGAAAATAAAGGAGTATTATTGTTGCTGCTGTACCACACAGTACACACATAACATTATAAAAGAACAACAAAATCTATATATATGTCTGTGTAATAAAAGAGAATACCATAAAACAATTATTATAACCAAAGAGAGGGTAAAGTCAAAGCTGCCTACATGAACCCCACAAAGTCCAGAAAATATCCTTTAGATAATATATTATTTTAATTTCTGAAAATAAACAAAGTAGCAAGAAACAAAGACTGTACCACATGAAACCATCCAAAGGTTGGTTTAGTAATTCTAGGATTGATAACTCCGCAATTTTGACACTTCTTATATTTCCGCAACAGAAATTTCCTTAGAACAGACATTGCCTCACTAAATTGAAGGGAGGTCCAATTTTCTCCCAGTTGCTCAGCACCACAACACTGGCTCTCGTCACCATCACCCAAACCAATGGATTCATCTTGATTGATAGAATCCAAACTTTTGGCCCTAATAATATCCCCTTTCATGATGAGCTCTAATTGGGATGTACGCATTTCCACCTTGAATCAACACAAGGCAATATGAATAATGGCCAAGAAATGCATAAATAACTTATAAAAAGCACAAGTATAGAGAACCAACACATAAAATTACTAAAAATTTACCTCCTCTCTTTTAGCCTGAAAATGATGGCAAGAGAAACAAGTTCTTTGTAGAATACTGCTAAGAATATTGAACATCAAAGGGTTGTAGACAGGGGAAACAAGCTCAATATGACCGAAATGACCAGGGCAATGTTTAGAAGTTTGACCACAGGATTTACAACTGAATCAAGCAAAAGATACATCTCAGTCACCCACCTCAATTTCAAGCTATGTAACGTAAATAAAAAGCAGAACAAACATCTTCAGTTATCACAAAACAATCAATTACTACCCCACTTAATCTTATCTCCACACAACCATATCAGCAACAAACTCCTAGGATCAGAGGACATTAAGATAAAATCTCAATCCAAAAGACAAGACATCCTCCACTTTGAATACAGACTAAACCCCAGTTTACTCCTTCAAGAGAAGTTCTTATAGGAGAAAAAATCAATATAAAAAATGAATAAAATTTCTCATTTTTTTAGAATTTCTCTCATTTAACTTCTCTAAAATTTGAGAAGATAAGTAGTTTCTAACTTATGACAAGTTTTATTAAGTTTTTATACTGATTTTTTTCCTCTTAGAAGGACTCTCTAGAAGTTTACCCAAACTAGATTTACAAGTGCATTAGGATAAACAGCTTAATCAAGCGCTTATTTAATAAACTCATACCAGAGAAGGACTTTTGGCATAAATTTGATCATGAAATTTATTAAAATAAGTTAAAAATAACTTATTTTGATAAACTATATCAAGAATCATACTGAGATAATGTAAAAAAAGCCTATAAGAGTGCTAACTATTGTGTAAGCTCTTCCAAATTTCCCCTAAAGCCTGCTTTGAATTAGCTTCTAGCTTATGGCAGATTTTCAAGTGAAACAAGTTTTCCATTCTTAACTTACAACAAAGCCCTTACAAGTTTATAACTGGTTATGTAAAAGTTGTGTACAGAGCTCAAAAAAAAGTTTAGGATACCGCGCATAAATTGATTTTAGCTTATGCAAAAACTTTCATTTATGTCATCTTAATTCATTTTATTTTCTTCTCCTGTAAGTTCTGAAGTTTATCAATACTGGCTCCACTATACTTGTACTCAAAAAATATGTATCAATAGTAATCGCCTGTTCGGTTTGGCTTATAAAAGTAAGCGACTTTTCCTTAAAATCTAAGGTTTCCCAAAACGAAGAGTGAAGTGAAAATTGATGAAACGCAGCATACAGAGACTTGTCATCGAGGGGACCAAACGCAGGGTCGTATAATCCAGCTGGCACAGGACGCTCCAAAGCATCGAGCAAAATGGGATTGGTGACTTTCACGTGACTACTCCTCCGTAACTCTTCTTCCGTTAAGAAACTGAAGGCCACCGCCTTAACGGAATTCGTTGCGCCCTGCGAGGTTACGGCGTTAGGTTTCACGGAGCAAGAACTGAGTTTCGATACAAGCGTGTTAAGTTCGAGAGTGTGATTACCTCAGTTGTGAGAACCATGTTGCTGCTGTCAAAGGTTCAATGCAGAGTTAAAGAAGAAGAAAAAGAAGAAGAGCCGTTGAGGTGACGAGAGGTTCAATGACAGTGCCAGTGAGAGGAGACACGAAAATTAGGTTTTGAAAAGTTAGGATCCATAAATAATTAAATATATTTGGTCCGACCCATCCACCTATATATGTTCTTGGGTTTGATTATACTCTTAGAAGTCTTTTTAAATTAAATTTATTATATTATTTTCTGCTAAAATTTATTAATTAATATAACAAATTTTCTCCAAAACAAATTAAAATCTCAAAAAAATTCTTCAAATTCAGTTTTATATCATTAAATTTTAACTATATTTACTTATAAACTTTTAAAACTTTTTCATATTTGAATTTTATTATAAATTATCTGAAAATCAATCAACCGAAAATCAATTATACAGAATTTTAATAATAAAAGTAAATAATTAACTCAAAAAATGTTAAAGGATTGGTCTAATAGATTAAGTTAAGATATAATTTTGTATCCTACGTTCAAGGTTTTTTTTTAATATTTTGCTAAGATTAAATCAAAAAATAATTTATTTTATTTTTTGAGAAAATTGGTCCATAAATTCAATTCATTTGTAATACAAACTGAAAAAATTTGTCTATAACAAAAATTATCAACAAAAAAATATGATTGTATTTTGAAATATATTTCTAACTTTTCGTAGAGCTCTTTAGAGATGGAAAGATATGTTTGTAACTAAGGTTTTAAAATACTACATTTCATTAAAGCAATTAAAGATGAAAAATTTTATCAATAATTTGTGAAATAGATAAAAATTACATCTCCTCCTTCTTCTTCTTCACTTTGCATTTTTTTCCTCTGTCTCTCTGCCATCTTTAGTTATTTGTCCATTGCTAGTGGTTGAAGTTTCTATTTAGAAAATAAATTACACCATTGTATTCTTAGTACGATATTCTAACTTTTACTCAACTTAGTTTTTTTTATTTTTTATGTAAAATAGATATTTATAATTTCTAAGATAGAGTTGTAGGATTGAAAATTGTATAATTGGGGAATGGACGTAGTGGTCCTCCCCCAAGCCAAATTATTATTTGCTGTGAAACTGTTCATAATTGTAGAGATTGTAGAATTTGTATGTTGTGGAATTATAAGGAGATGCACCCAAAACGATTTTAAGATTATGATGTATATGTTTATGATTTATTTATTAATATATTTTTATATAATATATAGACTATATGTGAAGAAAATGTTTATTTTTGTATTAAGTGTTAACATACATAAAGAAATGTTTATATAGTAGGGAGATTCTACAAAAATTTATATTATAAATTTGTGTATAAAATAAAAGATGTTCATATAGTATGTGTGCTTGTATTTAAGTTTGTTTAAAATATGGTAGGTAAAAGTAAGAAAGATGATACTTAACATTTTGATCATGGCAACACTCCTCATTGTAACGCCCCTAATTTTGTAATATTAATTATTATTATTTATATAAAATATAAATGCATATATATGTGTGTATATGCGTAAATGGATGTTGAAAATTACATTGGATGCATGATGATGGTGTTTTGTGTGTAATGAGTATGAATATATGTATGTTGTGGATGTGTGTATATATATGTGTGTGTATGCATGACTGGATAAGGTTGAAATGGGATAAGTGCCTAAGTACAGGCGTGGTACTGGGTTGTTCTCGCTGCAGCGAGAGGATTCTCGTTGTAGCGAGAAGGCCCTGGGAGGAAGGACTGAAACTGTCTCATTCTCGCTGTAGCGAGAGAGCGACAGTTTGGAGTGCATTTCTGGGTGCAGTCTCGCTGTAACGAGATTCTGCAGAAATCAGAGTGCAGTTTCGTCTGATATTTTCGCTACAGTGTAAGAGTGTGTCGCTGCAGCGAGGGGAATATCTTACTGTAGCGAGAGAGTCGCGACAAAAAAAGGATTTAAAGGGGTTAGGATTCGGAGAGAGTAATTTCTCCCTCTCCCTTCAAAATTCCTTTGATCCTCTCATTCCCAAACCATTTTCTACCGATTAAATTACCTCCAAAGCCGTTCGAGAGCTTGATTGAAGGTTGAATGGTGAGTTTTAATGGTTAGAGTTTCGATTTTTCATTCTCTATCTCTGTTTTTGTGGTTTCCCTGAGTTCTCATGGAATTTCTCTATGTGTTTAAGACGAAATCTGTGAGGAGAAACACTTCTTGGTGAATTTAGTGTGTGGGTCTTCAATCCAAGGTAAGGGGGGACTCTACTCTATCTCAATATGTTGTGTAATTCTTGTGTATTTCAATGAATAATATATTGTGGCTGAAATAGAGAGTAGGAATTGTGTGTTTGATGAAAATTGGTATGCAATATGATGTGTACTAAAATAGTTAGGCCCCGTGGAGGTGGTTGTGTGTGATAGAATGTCATTGATTGGTGAATTAATGATATTGTGAATGAATGAAGGCTATGTGTTGTATATTATGGATAAAATGTGGGCTATGTGCCGTGTAATATGAATTGAATATAGGCTGTGTGTCTTGTGCAAGTATGAATATTGCGTGTGTAAATGAAATGTCTGTGAATAGGGCATGTAGCGCCGTTGTAATGTGCTGTAAATGGTTCAGCGATACATTGGGGGTGTGAAAGATGAAGACGGTAGAAATACCTTGAGGAAGAGGGAGTGGTGGTGACACCGACTGTGGAACGGGTGCACCACAGGTCACACACTCTCTTCCTAACTAGACCTCTGACCATTACCTTTGTTGAGCAACCCATGACTGCCCACGTGGTATCCGTGAGGTGGGGGTAACCAACGACCATTCATAGTGTAAATCTGTGATCACAGTGCCACAGTGAGTGTGGTTGGCGTGCATATGCATGAGTTTATGAATTGTACTTATGGATGTGAAATGTCGCTTGTGATTGTAATTGTTTAATGTATTGGAAATGTACTAGGGGTGAGGCCTTGTATTGACTATATGTCTTTGGGTAGTGTAGAGTACTCACCCTTACATTCATTTTTCAGATAATCAAGACGATCAGCACCGGACTCAGTGAAAGGGTGGATGAAACTGCTATAAGACTTAGGACATTATTTTGAAAACTGTTGTATTTGAATAAGGCTTGTAGCAACTGTTTGATGTAATTTGTAACTCGTTTCTTCATTTGAAATGTTTGATGAAACTTGAATTAAAAATGAAAGTCTTATTATTTCAAAAATTTGCGAAAATTCCTTATTTATTGAAATTAAATTTAAGGTGTTACACTCATCAACCACCATACCAGTTGTAGTGCAAACCTACTAAGTTGGGGAGCAGGACTAGTTCATTATAGTGCTCAACCTTGGCTATGTGCCTCCTCTCCTCTCGTATAAGTTACACAATTTACATGGCTAACTACATCTATCTCATTATCCCATCTACATAGCGCACAAGCAAGAGATCTACTACTATTGCATCTTCCTATTGGCAATAGTCACAAACCCATACACCATCGAGACTGCTTCCAAGTTTGAGATGAGATGGATCAACTTGGTAAATTATTTACAAAATATGACACAACTTTATTTGATGTGAATTTTATAATCATTGTGTTATTTTATTGTGCTCAGTTGGTATCTACCGTAGAAAAGTATCCATTACGTAACAGATACCATTAAAAAGATATAAAGGTGGAGTAGTTCAAATATTTGAAGGTAATAGAAGTCAATTAATTTATTTTAAATCTAATTAAATATCTAATTCTTGCACCTGTTATAATTAATTTCTACTTATGTAAAGCAACTTCTACATTCCCTTCCAAGAGAGAAGATGATTTTCAAGGCTGGAAGAGTCGTACTACAAAGCGACTAAGACAAATGTACATTGTGATAATTAAAAATAACGAGGAATAATTATTCAAGTAAACAAAAGAAACAAAAAACTAAATTAAATAATCTATTTATGACTTATAGATGGAAAAATATGTATGCAATTTACAAATGGATTTAAAAATCTTCTGTATTGATTTACCAACAAATAAATTATAGATGAGTGTAACTCGTTTGTAAATCTAAAATTTGTTGATAACTTTTCAAAAATTCATCGATAATTTGCATATTTTTAGTAGTGTAAAGATTTTAATTAGTTATACAAATTTGTTACTTAGTTATTATTTTTTAATTTTAATTATAAATAACCTTGGGATGATATTTATGATGATTATTGGTATGAATATAATTAACGTTTGTATTACAGAATTTTATTGCATTGTCATTAATTATTATTGTTATTGTATTTACAAATTTGGAAAATATTAGAGTTTTTTTTTATTAATTTGTTAACTATTAGTAATTAGTAGATTACATATAAAGTTGAATCATTGATTAATTGTATTACTATAAAATTAATTATTATTATTATTATTATTATTATTATTTATTAAATATTAAAATTATATTTAGATAGCATCATCTTCTTAGCAAATTAGGGTCATTAATCTCAAATTAGAGAATTCTTCGTTGTTACAATTTACAACATTTACCTATCTAAATATTTTTAGGATGGTCAAGATCACCCTACTTTAAAGGTGAGGAAGAGTTAGCTTATTTTAACTAGTCTAGAAGGTGTTTTAGCATATATCTTTCCCTACTTGAAGATTTAACATTGTTGGATTTGCTGGAATTGTACATTTGTCAGTTTTCACTATACCTTTCATTAATCATTGCACTAGTGGAGAGATGACACTACTAAAAAAAATATTTTTTTCCGCTATTTATATAACCTTTGTTAAGTTTGAATATTACCCGTGATTTAAATAACCATAGTTAATAGTTAATTAACAATGATTGTGAAAAACTCCCAAGTAATTATTGAAATTTTTTTTACCTATTTATTATGACTTTGCCTACAAGCATAGATACCACTTCTCCTAACCCCAAAACATAACCCTACTAGTGCCAAAGGTACGCCCTCTTTCTTAACTCCTTTTTTGACATCCTCTCTATCAACTCCTCTTTGAATTGATTTTGTGCCCTCTCTGTTTCACAAAGGTTCGATTCAATCTTCTTACTGTCTTCCAACCAAGTATGATTTGTGTTTTACGTTTGGAGTTTTATATTTGGAGTTTGTATTTGGGCTTAAAGT